GAAATTAGTAAAATTAAAAAGAAGATTACATAAGGGATGAAATGATGTAAAATGCATGTTATTGCCAATTATCTCCATACACATGTAGGAATTAAAGAATGAACATGCTTTTCTCTTGTTGTCTTTATTTAACACTTCCCTTTGTCACTTCAAATTGTGGGAAAATTTTAAAAAAACTGCAAAAACCAAAAAATTATTGGACTGCAATATTTAAAATTAAAAAGATAAGCCACCTAATTTTTAGGGACCACAATAAGCTGAAAGATAAACCTACTCCAAAATCAAATTATAGACTGAAATATCTGAGAAATCAAAAAGAGAACAAAAAAAAAAAGAATAAAAAAGAAATACATAAGGGGGAAAAAGCGAAAAGATTATTATTATTTTCTGCATAAAGCCTTATACGTATTTCTACTAAAATGGGCCAAAGTTACCATTTTAACAAATTAATATTCTTTCCTTCTTTTTAAAACTCAACGAAGAGTGCTAGGCATTATTTTCAATGTGATCGAAAAAATATAACTAAAGAGCGAATGGGAAAAAAAAAGGAATCTCTTTTTCAGGTGAATTTTAGAAAACACCAATGGTTTTTGACCATTTTGTAGAAGACTGTCATGTCTGTAGTTTCAAAATTAGAGAAACACTCACCAACTTTCTGTATAAAACTCAGCTCACCAACGTTCTCTAATTATCAAAGTTTATGATAACTTTCTGCAAAAGCCCCAAAAATCATGGATGTTTTCTGAAACCTTCCCCTTTTCTACATTCGTTTAACAAAATGATTAGAGTATTTGTCACGGAAAATTAAATACACTTTGATAGAATTAACTCGAAAAAGGGTTTTTTTTGATAGTATACTTAAAAACTCTCGCGTATATGTGTTTCTCTGACATAACGTAGATACCTTTTTTTTGGGTGAATAAGGCTCGTTGCCCATTTTTTCAATTTTAAAAGAACATAGTTGGTAAATTTCCTCTGGAATAACGTTGACCACAATTGAGACCAAATTGAGTGAGAGTTTTAAAAGCAAAGTTCCCCTTCTATCCTTAACTCGCAACGCCTGCCAAATGAAAAAGAAAAGGAGAAAAATGAAGAAATCCGTCTATTTGAGGCCAATTTTGCAATTTTGTTTTTTTAATAACTTATTCTTTTAAGTAGTCAATAATGATATCTGATAAAACCTTTCTGAATGTTTATTGAGAATATTGTTCCTTTCGAAAAGTAGTTTTAGAAACAACCTTTTAAATCGTAATCTCTGCTTCATGTATAATGAGAAATTGACGGTTCTATAAAATGCAAAAAAAAAAACGACACATGTTATCTAAATACATGTGTCATGTAGAAAATAACCATGTGCTCTATTATCCTATAAGAATATGATACATTAACATATCATCTTAACGTATCATCTTATTTTCACCTAATTAAGAATCTTTGTCAAATTTAAACTATTTATAATTAAAATATGTGGTAATCCTGATCATCCATAAGTGAACCACTCCAAGGAATAAAAAAACATGTTGTGCCAAAAAAATTTGTCATGTATCATCAAACTATATTATAATTCTATCTTTACCTAAAAATCCTAATAAAAATTATAATAGCTGACTATTGGGAAAATTCTATTAATCAAAATTTTCCTTTTTAATTCTTATTATCTAAGAATCCATATAAAATTAAAAGTATCCATAATTTAAAAATTCTATTAATCAAAGATGTCCCTTTTTTAAGATTAGAAATCTATCAACTGCCCCCTTAGAACTATATTAAAAATCCTAATAAATATAAAAATAATCCACCATTACGAAAATTCTATTAATCAAAATTCTCCTTACCTAAGAATCCATATCAAATTAAAAGTATTCATAATTGGAAAATTCTATTAATCAAAGATGTCCCTTTTTTCAAGATTAGAAAATTATCAACTACCCCCTTCGAATATAAAAATTAAAAACAACCCCATAAAAATTTAAAAATTATAAGCAACTCCATAAAAATCTAAAAATTACAAACTACCCCCTAGATGCAAAAATTAGAAAAATATCCTGATAAATCTAAAATCCTAAATAGGCCTATGAAAATACGAAACACAAACAACTAACTCCCTAAGATAAAAAAATTACAAATAAACCCCCAAAAAGTTTAAAAATTAAAATTTTAATAATCAAATATTTAATAATCCTAATCAAATTATAACTATCCATGGAACTGCTTCAAGGATAAAAAACATGCTATGTGTCAAAAAAACTGTCGTGTACCCTTCAAACCCTATTAGAGACATATTGACACATAATTCTATCTTTATGTAAGATTCCATATCAAATTAAAACTAACCACAATTAAAAAAATTCTATTAATCAAAGTCGTCACATTTTCAAGATTAGGAAATTATCAGCTGCCCATTTTATCTAAAAATTACAAAATACCCCCTAGAAATTAAAAAATTAAAAGCAACTAACAAAAATCTAAAAATTACAAATTGTCCCCTAGATCCAAAAAAAAAAACTCCTGATAAATCTAAAATCCTAAATAGGCCTATGAAAATAAGAAATTTATGGACAACTCCTTAAAATTTAAAAATCACAAATAAACAGCTACTTTTTTAGAAATTAAAAATTCTAATAATTAAATATTTAGTAATCCTGATCTAATTATAAATATCTATAAGTGAACTACTCCAAGAATACAAAACATTCTGTGTGTCAAAAATGCTCTCGTGTATCCATCATTCATCAAGCCCTATTAGAGACATAGTGACACGTAATTCTATGTTTACTTAAGAATCCTAATAAAATTAAACTAGTCCATTATTACAAAAAATCTATTATTCAAAATCCTCATTTCTAATTGTCTTTACGTGAGAATCCATATCAAATTAGAATTATCCATAATTTAAAATTTCTATTAATTGAAGTTGTCCCTTTTTCAAGATTAGAATTTATCAATTGCCCACTTTGAAAATTACAAATATTTACTCTTAAAAGTTCTTAAAATTACAAATATTCTCTTAAAAACTTACAAACAACTCTTTTAAAACTTTACAACTAGCCCCGTGAAAGTTGTGAAAGTTACAAACATTCTGCTTAAAAAATTTAAAAATATTATGAACAATTCCCTAAAAATAATACGAAAGACCCTTAAAAGTCTCATAAATTGCAAACAACTCACAAATAATCTGAAAATTATAAATAGCCACATGAAAGTTGCAAAGAACCCTTTAATATTCAAACATTACAAATAAACCACTGTGAAATCTGAGAATTACAATAGTCTACCCCTTTAAAATTCATAAATTACAAAAATACCTAGAAATTTCAAAAAATTCAAACATTTCTTTGAAAATTTTAAAAATTACAAATAGCCCCTAGAAGTCTTACTTACAAACAACCCCTAAAAAATTTTAAAACTAGCCACTTGAAAGATTAAAAAATTATAGATATTTTTAAAAAACTTTTACAAATAACCATTTAAAAATTTTACAACTAGCCCCATGAAAGTTGCTAAAGTAACAATATGCTAAATTTTTTAAACTATTACATGTAATTTTTTAAAAAATTACAAACAACCCTTGAAATTTTTAAAAATTACAAATACCTCTAAAGAATATACCAAAAGCCCCCTAAAGGTTTTGTAAGTTATAAATAATCCTATGAAAATTTGCAAGACACCTCCTCTGAAATTTTACAACTACTTCCTTGAAAGTTTTAAAAATTAAAAACAACACCCAAAACTTTACAAACATCATCTCAAAAAAATTCTAGAATTACAAATGCCCCTCTAATTCAACGTATTGTAATATAATATTATAATATATCGTTGGCGTAGGTAACGTATAAGGTAGGAGGGTATAATGTTCTCCGAAGTCCTATATCATTATGCTTGTTTTGGGGATCAAAAGGAAATTCTTAATCTAATTCGTACCCCAATCCTAGACGGACCAAACATGAACGTTGGTTAAAATATTGGGACATTGAAATCTCAGTAGTTTTAATTTTAAAAATCATAAAATTTTATTAGATTTACAAAGTGGATTGATGGTTAAGTTATCTAATTTTGAATTTTAAACTTAAGATTGTAATTTATCTTAAGAAAAAACTATATCTTTAAAAAACTCTTCTTCTCATTTCATAACAAAAAGACATGCTCATCGCCTCTTTCTTCATAAGCATTTAATTTATCCTTATAGATGATCTGTAAGTTATAATCTAAAAAAAAATAGCCAATCATCTCTTTTATTACACTGGGATAACTAAACACATTCGAAGAGCATATAAACCAAAGAAATCAAAATAATCCGTGTGAGCACAGGATTAATACTTGTATTAAATGAT